AAGTACAAAGCACAAAGGGTATTCTTAAGTAGTTCCCTTTGTGTAGATGGTGATAAGTCTTAAGACCAGTTTGAACTATTTTAAGCTGTCATAGGTGCCTTTGTACTCTTTAGTTAATTGTAATACTAAAGTCCCTGCCTAATGGAAAATACTGTGCATGCTTCACCTGTATTGCATGTAAATATATACAACGATGCAGAGAGAGAGCTCTATGTCACTTGACAAAAAGAAATTTAACTCCACAAGCAGGCAGACAGTGAGGATCTTACTCTCCAAAGAACTCCTGCCTCCTCCCAGGGGTGCATGCCTGAAGGATTCCTATCTTGACTAAGAATGAGAGCCCTATGTAAGTAACCTCTAATAAATTCACTTAATGCATCAAGCTGGATTGGTTTGGGTCATTTCTTTGGGTAAGTGGTAGGTAGAAAGAGAGAGTGGCTTTCAAAATTCCAAGAATAGTTAGAAAGCTTGAGCAAAGCAGAGATGGCGAAGAGTATGTACAGCAAAAGTGGTTTGGTTTGCTTCAACCTGGGAATGGTTTGTATTCGGCACCATCTCGGTTTGGAGGGCAGTTTTTCTACACCATTCTGGGATTTTCCTGAAACAGCACAGGGCCCGACACATAGGTCCATAGGGCCATTGAGCCTCACTAGGAAATCTCCTCCTGTTAGGCACAGTCACTAGTAGAGGACCTTTGGTGTTTCCCAGGAGACAACTCTTGAAGTGTAGGTCATGTCAAGTCTAGAGCACACGTTTTCAGAATGGATGATATATCAGTTTCATATATGGTGTCCATCCTATATACATACTTTCATTCTTGTTCCTGCTCTTCAGCTTCTGAGTCAGTGGCAAAGACTAACTTGATAATTCTACTTATTTTGTTTATACTCCACTTTAAGTAGTAACAAAGTAGATGATAACAAAACCTAAAATATACTATGACAGCCAATTCAAAGTAAGCAAGAAAGACAAAAGCAAACAAATGTAGGGACAAAAAAAAGGATGCCGTAATAAGACTATCAAAAAATGCACACCATGAAGATCCATTTACTTATAGGTAGGCCATAGATTTGGCACTAAGCTTTCTGGCTTTTATATAAAAAGAGAAATTTGAATAAACCAGCAAGCGTCGGGTAGTTTCAAGACAAAAGCAAGCCAACTGTTCAGGAGAAGCATACCATTTCTAACACTAACAGATAAATTCCTCCCAAGGGTCTTCATAAAGAGGATAGAGTAATATAATGAACATCTTTTCAGTAGTCACAGCAGTGAGTTCTGTGGGATTGTTTCTCCTAGTTCTCTCAACATAGAATGATAGCATACCGAAGCACATTTCAGGCAATTCTATACTGGGATCAATATGCTACATTCTAGTAAAAGAAAAAAAATCTACATAAAAGTAAACAAAAAATCTTCCAGGTATAGATTTTATAATAAAGCAATAGTTTTAAACCTTGGGGGATCACTAGGAAATTTTTCAAAGGTTACTGATACCTGAGCCCCATCCTGGGCTAATCACATCTGGATCTTTCTTGAATGAGGCCTTCAGTTTCTAAATGCTATCCAATACAGACCATTCCAAAGCTTCACCAGAGAAGTTTTACAATGTCTGGATAACCTGGGCCAATTAAATCAGAATCTCTCAGGGGGAGACTCAGACACCGATATTTTTTAAGGCTTCCCAGTTGAGTTCAATGTTCCACCAAGGTTAAGAACCATTGATCCAGAAGAATGGATGGACTGGCACATCCTTCACCCAATGTTTCCTGAATACCACTTCTCTCAGCTGAGCTTTGGATAGACATTAAGTAACAATGATAGTGGTATTATGCTTCCCAGATTGTCTATATTATTAAATAAATAAGGATACAAACGCCTTAATCAACAGTGAAGCTGGGGTGAGTTGGACTTTATTTTATAAAAACTAAAAATCCTGCCGAGGTGGGGACCATCTATCTTACCCCTGTCTGGGGAGGAGCTCAGGGAAACCTGAAAGCAAGGTCAAATGTCTACTTTTCAAAGTACACTTGGATCTACTCTAATGATCAGAAAACATGGCCAATCAAGTTTCATAATTTTATTTCCAAAGCACAGATACCATCTTTTAGCAAGACAGGTTAAACCAACAGCCATTCAAGCCATAAGAAAACAATAACATATCTAGTTTCAACAATGCTACTTTCTGAGGATTCATGAGATAACTGAAAGAAATGACTTGTTGTCACATATGTTTATCTAAAACCAGTCAGAAATCAGGAAACATGTACCAAAGGCAATTTTAATTTTAGAATTGTTGCCAGGCAGTGCGTTCTGGGTACAATTAATAGCAGAACCAGGAAGATTAGAAAATCCCAATAACAACTTCTATCAAATTGGATCTTGAAAAGAAAACCTGAGGGAGAATATCCAGAAACAAGTTATAAGAGGCTGATGACATTTGCTCATATCCTAAATTGAAAGATAGTAGGTCCCACCCCTGGCTTTTATACACAAGACTTTATACTAAATAACCCAAGACGTTTAAAGCATCTGCCTAAAGTATGGAGAATATGAGCAGAAAGGAGAGGTAATGTGCCTTCTCTAACTGCAAAGCCAGGCCAGGGACTCAAGTGCTCCATATTTTGTGGCCACATAGATGAATGAAACTGGTATTCTAAGCTCCAATAGTCCCTTCCACCATAAAGGCAAAAGATACCCATCACACACCCTCTGGCTCAGGAGAAAGCCCTAAAAGAATATTTTTCCAGAGCCTTGAGGGACTACATATGCTGCACGTACCAGGTCTAGGCCTAGACATTCAAAGTTTTATTATCCACTACTACTGATAACTTTATCTTTAACAGGAATATATGTATATTCCTATATATTACTTCCCAGCCCTTCTTTAATAAGAATAGAGAAGAATGGGGGAGGGTGTATACATGAGAGGTTGGCTATGTGAATACAAAATCATAAGGAAAATTTAATGAGCTAATGTAAAAAGCCAAAGGGACTGAAAAAAGATTAAAGCATCAAAAGATAAAAAGTCCAGTATTAGAAAGTAGTATAGCCATAGAAAGGTTAACTAGAAACCTGGTAATAGAATTAAGTGCCTGCCAAACATATCTAGTTGTATGGGAAGTGCTTTAGAGGTTTGATTTCATGCGTGGCCAGCCTTTAAAAATGGGTTTCAGTTGTACAATGGGAAGACACACCCCTGAGGGTTTCTGGAAAGCAACTGTGATCATGAAGAGTACATCTAATAACAGCTTTGGACAACCTGTTCCACCTATCGCAGCATCAACCTAGAAGATCAACCATACAAAAGCACTCCACAGGTAAATATGACACCAAAGGGCCTGGGGATTTCAGGTTGTCTATTCCTCTTCATTACACCTTCCTGATATGAAAGGTCACATCCAGGAAGGGCAATCACTTGAAAAAACTAATTATTTGTTTATTGCTTTAGGAATAATTATCCTAACCAAACCCAGAAAGATTTTAAGATATAACTACAGACTAGCCCATTTTTAATTTTCTTCTTATCTCAAATCTCTTCCACTATAGGTTTAGAAACCTGAAATGGAAAAGGAGAACCTCGAGATACAGCATATGTTACCAAAAAGCCTTTAAGAGATCTCAAATGGTCTTCCGCAAACCCTGAGAAAAAGCTGTTGTAAAATTTGTTTCCAAAGGCATTGACCTTCTGTGATTTCAGTTAAGGTGGTTCTTGTCACAAAGGTCCCTGCAACTCCAACAAACCTTCAAAATGGTCACATAAAAGGGCACTGCACCTTTGTACTCAAGTTCACCCAGGCACTTGTTAGAAATGCTGACTCTCTGGCCCTACCCCACGCCTGCAGAATCAGAATCTGCGTTTTAACAAGATTCCCAAGCAACTTAAGAAGCGTGAAGCACTACTGGCTGAGCCATGGGGCTAATCTGGAAGTTCCGGGGCTGTCCTACACTCGGAAGGTGCGGGCGGCTGGGGGCGCCAAGCCAGCCCCTTTTGCTCAAGTTCCTACTTGAGCTACTAGCTACTACTGTTTTCCGTGCCCAGCGGGTAAAACTGGGAAGGTGTACGTTCCGGCGAAGCGCCTGGCCTGGAACACGGTCCTCGCCCCACCAGCCCCGGCCCGGCCGACCCCTCACCTGCTCCTCTTGCGGGAGCGGCTTGAGAGGACTCCGCGCCCCGTGCCGAAACACGACTTGCACCATTTTCAGCTCCAGCAGGCTGCGGTCCACGAGACGCTGGCCGTCGGCCCCCCGCAGCTCGGCCAGGGTCACCCGCCTCTGGTGGAGGCAGTACGCCAGCGAGGTCAGGACGCCCACCGGGGTCCACACGCGCATACTGAAGACACGGGTGATCATGGTGGTGGCGCCTCGGTTGCCCTTTGGGTTGCGGCTGCAGGAGGCGCACACGAGCCCTTGGCAGGCGCGGTGTCAGCGGCCGCCCTCAAGTTCACGGGAACTGTCGGGAGCGTCCATCCGGCGTCCAAACAAGCGGGGAGCTACTGAGACTCCCGGCCCTGAGGAGACCCCGAGTGGGAGCGTGAGACAAGAAGCGGAGGTGGGAGCAGCGAATACTCGCTGGAAGTTTTAACCCGGGTCAGGGTTGGTCCTGCTGCTGACTGGGCTGGGGGACGGGGGGACTGAGCTCCTTATCTTTCGCTTTCTAGAGAACCTTAAACTTGCATTTCAAGTTTGGCCTCCAGCACTCTTGAAGGGACAGGAACCAGCTCTGAGGTCCTCAGCGGCAGCGGCTCCACTGACACAGACGACTCGATTCCACTTTTCTATGAAGCAAGCTTCCACCCACCCTGGGACCTGTCCCAAGTGGACCCGCGCAGAGGAGCACGGGAAGACGAGTCTTGCGGTGACGCCTTGTCTGGAGGCTCAGAGTTGTGAGAACTACAACTCCCACAAGACTGCGCGCACCGGGGCGCCCGGGAGAGCTGGCCCGGCCCCCGCCCCCGCCCTCCCGCCACTGGCCTCGCGTCAGGTCCTGCCAGCCAGTGTTCAGCTTGCCGGGCCGCCGTTGGGTTGAGGTGAATTTGTGCGGTCAGGGAGTTTGCTAGGCAGGTGTAGGGATGAAGTGCGAGGACAGGGGTAGAATTGGGTTGCTATGGGAAGTAGTTCGAGTCTAGTTTTGAGTGTAGAAGACTTCCTTCAAGTCCTGGAAGCGTGGTTGCTGAATTAAGAGCCCAGACAATTACTCTTGGGAAGCACGGCACTAGGTACTTTATATTTGGTCTTCATTTACTATCCACCTTTTATGTTTACAAAAATTCTCAGGCATAAATCGTCGCAATCATGTAGAACCTTAAGCTTACTGGTGTGTTTACTTACATCCAGAATACTTCTTGTGAACAAATCCAGGCCTTGCCTGCAGGTGTCCCAGTCATAAAGAACCTTAGTTTACCCAGAAAAATGCCAGCCTTATCACCTGGTTTGGTTTCTGTTCAATGTACAGCCATCCCAAGCCTGTGTTCCCAGAGACTCAAATTAGAACCTTACCTGTCTATCTCAAGGTAAGGACAAGTTGAGAGGAGAGGCATTTGTGAGAAACGTGTAACCATTTCTTTAATCATTGTAGATTCTATCTTTGAATCAAACTGGGCCTGTTGTAAAGACACATACCAATGGAGCATGGATCCTGACTTAAGTCTAAATTCTGTTCATCAAGCTCTGCGGTCCCCAACCCTCAGGCAAGTTAGGGACTGGGCTGCTGAGGCCCACACCCCTAGCCTGTCCGTGGAAACGGGGGAGCCGGCCCCCATATACAGCAGGAGGTGAGCGGCAGCAAGCCAAGTTTTATCTATATTTACAGCTACTCCCATTGCTGCCATCAGCACCTGACCTCTGCCTCCTCCTGTCCCCCTACCAAAATAGGGGGACACAATCCCACCTCCCCACACCCTCACCTCCTTTCCCTGACAGTGGGAAAATTATCTTATGTGAAATCCCTCAAAATGTTAGGGACTGCTATCAAGCTGGAAGGTTCTGATTTCTCCCTGGTCGGGGCAGGGTCATTTGGGAACACTGCACATTGTCACACTTTCCTCACTGGCCCAGTCCATGAACTCAATTTTTTGGAGTCTTATTGTGTGTACTGATATGATTAAAAACTGAAAGGTGTTTGCTATAGGTTCAGTTGCCCCTCCTCCTCTCTTTCACATTTTGAAGCCCTAACCCCCAATGGGACTAAATTTGGAAACAGGGCTTTTAGGGGGTGATTAAGGTTAAATGAGGTCAAAAATGTTCTAATTGTGTAGGATTGGTGGCTTTATAAAAAGAAGAAGAGAGAGCTCTCCCACCATACCCAGGCACTGAGGAAGCACACAGCAAGAGGGCGACATCTACAAACCAGGAAGAGAGGCTTCACCAGAACCTGGCCATGTTGGCACCCTGATCTCAGACTTCCAGCTTCCAAACTGTGGGAAAATAAATTTCTGTTGTATATGACACCCAGTCTGTGGTATTGAGGGAAAAAAAATGTTTAAATGAGGAATGTGAACCCTTTCAAATTATTAGTCCCAGAGAGGCATTAAATGAGACAGTAATCACATCCTACTTTCGCCTTTTAATGTATGAATTCATTAATTTGCTCTAGCAGCTGTGAATTAACCTAATAATGCCTCACTGGACATTATATCCCATACACTTTAGTTTAACAATGCATAACCAATCACTAATAAACATTATTTCTATAAACCAATGAGAATTCCTGACAGAATTTTGTATCAGACCCTTCCCTGTACCATTTTTATTTATTTATTTATTTTTTGCCTTTAAAAACCTGCCTGTAACACAGGACAATGGAGCTCATATCCAAGATTACTTGGGTCTGGGTCTGAATCTTCCCAGCAGTTGTCCTTATTTTGACTCAAGTAAACTTATTTTGTGCTTCAGGGTCTTCCTTTTAGGTCAACAGTATTTTGTTATGGTAGTCCAAGCAAACAAAAAGGCTATGTTACTCTAGTCTCAGTAAGAAATCAGAACATCAGACAACAGTGCTTTGGAACCTGTGTAATGATATGTAACCTCAATGGTTAGAGATCGCTGTTCTCAAAAGTTCAGTGAAAACGTGGTACAGCTTCAATTCAAAAGGGCCCTTCAGCAGCCTTAGTAGTTTTAGCACAACCTAGCAGCTTCAAGGCAATGTAATGTTGGCATCTGGATGCCAGTACCTCCTGCAGTAATGAACAAAGCAACCCTAGTCCACACGCTGCACTCTGGCAGCCTTGACACAGACGTGGTAATCATCCTGAGCAGCACCTTTTAACCTGTATGAGCAATAGCAGTGATCCTATCCTGGCTCGTGTGTTGCTGGGGGAGGGGTGGAGGATGTCTCAGCAGCAGATCTCTGAAGGAAGCCAGAGTAGGTGATGTTGGAAAATAACAGATTCCACGTGATAATTGAAAGCACTGTCAGCACATATGAGACAACCTTTGGGAAGTCCTCTATTTCATGTGTGCTATATGGTGTGGTGGTGGTAGTAAGCTGCAGTTTAAAAGAGAGGCTAGAAGACCTGGAATCATGCTCTGGGACAGATCAGGGCAGGCGGGGGTGTGAGAGTGGGAAGTAATGCAAGGACACTGAGTGGCTGTTATATTAACCCTGGTTTTACCACCAGACGGGGATACCTTGGGAAACAAGCCCTCCCCTCACCAAGTTGTCTTCAGAAGGTTGTATTTAATATTATGCAAAAATTCTGTTTCAATCATGAAATTAGATAAGAAACAACTACATTCACTGTTTTATCTCCAGTGGTGAGTACAGTGCCTGGCTCATGGTAGATACTCCATAAATGCTAACTGAATGAAATAATAGGATATATCATAGGAATGTCACTGAGGATATTGTCCATTACATCACTTATTTCTTCCTGTATAAATCTCCTCCTGAGAAATTTGGTTTAGAGCAAAGCATTAGCATTAGAACAAGCATTAAGAGGTATGAAGATTACTTTCCCTTTATTTTTGCCTTGGTTGCCAGGAAGCTTGGAGCATAATTTAAAATTTGTAACTATAGCAAATATTTATAACCTAATGTCCAGTATAACTGTGACCTTTCCCTCCAGGGTATCATTCTAGATTGGAAGGAAGCAAAACTGGAAAAAGGGCAGTTAGAAGGCCATTGCAGCAATCCAGGTATGAAACATTTAGGAAATAGTTAACAATAAAGAGGAAGAGGGTGTTCTGGCATTCAGGTTTTGGAAAAGAAGGGGTAAAAAAAAGAAAAAGAGTAAGAGGGAGGAAGGAGTCAAGGATGATATTAACAATAAAGAGTGAGAGGGAGAAAGGAGGGAGGATGATGCCTAAATTTCTGCCTTGGGCAACTTGCAGATAATGACATTGACCTGGGAAAGAGGTTAAGCAGAAATTAGCAAGCTAATTTTGAATATGTAGATTATGAGGTACTTGTGTAGCATCTAAGTAGAAATGCCCTTTAGACAGTTGATTATGCAGGTTGGAGTTCAGAATACGTTTAGACTAGGAATATTTATGGAAGACTCCTCTGCTAATGGTTAATAATTGAAACAAAAGGAGTAGATAAGATGCCCAGATTGAATGGGATATAGTGGCCTAGGACAGGACTCTGAGGGACCCTACCATTTAAAGTAAGAGCAAAGAAATAGAAACCTGAGAAGGACAGTAAGAAGGAGTGGCAGAGAGGTAGAATATAAAGACTTATTCAAAGAAGCCAAGAGAAGAAAGGTTTTAAGAAGAAGAAATGGGCTGACTGAACACATCAGCTGCCAGAGTGCCTCAGTAAGAAGGAGAAGTTTTATATGAAAGAAAAAATGAACAAACAGGCATGGATCAGATGTGGGTCTGAAGGAAGGAGCCTTCGGGAGACTCCATGGGGAGAAGTTGCAATGCAGAACAAGTAGCAAGATATCAGCAAAGATCAACCCCTGAGAGGATTAGAGTCCAGTGAGAAGGGTAGGTAGAGCAGTTTGCTTCTCCCTCCCCTGCATCTCTGACAGCCAGTGGATTCCCAAGCTGCTGGAGAGACTTTCTGCCCACAGGAGCCCAAAAGGCTGCTGCCACCAGTGAGCCGGGAACTGCTTATGGACAGGGCACCAGGCTCCCAGCCCCCTGGGGCACTTCCCAATTTCACAGACCCGAGATGAGCCGGCAGGCGCCATATTGCTTCTCCACCCACAGTGTGCCTGTGTCCTCCCCCAGGGGGCCTCAACTCCTCAGGTTTCGTCCTGCTCATTCCCACACAGATGTTTCCCAACTCCAACCCAGAGGGTCCAGGATACTTTACATGACTCCAGATCCTGGACATTCTGGACAGACTACCTACCAGAGAGAGGGTTGGAGATGACCAGAGTGCTAGCACTCCTCCATACAGACTCTTTTCCTTCCCTTCTCCCCCACCCATGGCTGCCAAGAGTGACAATTGAGCCACCACACAGAGGCTTCTACAGGGTGTGGTACTCAGGCCTATACTCCTGGGGTCCAGTAGCAAACCAAGAGGTGCACAGACTGTGAGCTCCTTGCTTGCCAGCCCTCCCTGGTGCTGCTTGCCTGGCGGCTCTATCAGAGCAGAACATGCCCCAAGGCAGAGGGACATTGATCCTGCTTGGGCACCCCATGGGTGACTTAGGACAAGTGTGCTTCTTCCTGGCACGGTCAGGGATTGACCTTCTTGGCCTAGGGAGGTGAGGGAGCCTGCATGGCAGATCAACAGAGAGAGTGGAGTGTTGGTCCTAGCTGCTATGTGCTCACTGGGCACCTCTTCCCCCATGGGAGGGCTGCATCCTCAGCTCAGGCCAGGATCCTGGGTGGGGGGCTTTGCAGCCCATTGCACGGTCATGGGGGAGCTTGGCTGGTTTGAGCTCCTGCCTGTCATCAGACTCAGGAAAGACAGGGAGACTGTGAAGTAGAAGAGGGGGGAGAGGAGTGTGGCCCACTGCAGACTACCAGTTTAGGAGTCTCAGATGGACGTGCCTCCACAAACAGACTTTCTGGTTGGGTGGAGCCCCTTCAGCCTTTCCCTGGCAGCTCTGCCCAGAAGCTGGGAGCAGACCTTTGATCCCTTCCAAAACAGCTACCTTGCCAGCCTTTGTGGAGCCTGAGGGCAAGCTCACCCACTCCAGCCCCACCCAGCCACACTCTCCCACCTGCCTCTGCTGGCATAGATTAAGGACTCACCTGGAAGTTCCAGAGCCCCACCTACAACCTGGGGCATTCAAGTGCTTCTCCTGAGGGACTAGAGCCGATTACAAGACCCACAAACAACACTGTAGCTTGTTTCTTCCAGCAAGGGCCACCTACTGAGAGGGAGGTCAATTTGCATGCCCTTTACAGCATTTACTGACTTTATAGGGCATGTGGGGGTCCAAGAAGTGGCCATTTGGGGGAATGCCTGCTCCTTCCCACAGAAAAACTGTGATACTTAATTAGGGTGGAAAACACCCAGTCTCAGGCCTTAGCATACAAGTGTTTCGCCTCCTTCCTTGTGAACAGTCCTTCCAGTTTGGATAGTGTGTCTTGACCCTCCTACCAGAGTGGTCAGAAAAGCAACTTCTGCACCCTGCCAAGACTGCAAAGCCTTTCAGGCTCACACATGAGCTGCCTTGCTCTTTCCCCCACCTAGGTAGTCGTGGAGATCAAGAAACCCCCTGGGAGCTACAAGGTCCTTCCTAAAGCTTGGGGCACTCAAGTATTCCACCTGGGTGGGGCAGAGTCTACCACAGACACAAAAGAACATCTTGGCAGTTGGCTCTGTCATACAAATATCAACTAATGATAGGAAGAACAATGAAATAGCCCATCAGAGTGTCTTCCAACTCAAGACAATAGTATGTGCTGATTCACACTCACAAGTACCACCCACCATCACTGAGAGTAAGCTGGGGGACCTAACTCACTCACTACATGTTGTTGGAAAGAGGTGAAGACAGCAGGTCAGAGGTAACCTGAGAGGTACACCAAACCTGCTAGAACACCCTGTAGGCATCTCAGAACCAGCACTCTCCTCCTTGGCATGCTCAGGGATCAATCCTAGGGACTCAGAGACAGGCCTATAAGCCAGGTTTTGCACACCAAGGTCTTGACCAAGAGGCCAGGTGAGAAGGAATAAATGAAAAAACTCTAGAAATGTGAAATATCAGAGCAAAAGGACACCCTCAAAAGAAAACAATAACTCCCTACCAATGGATGCCAACAAAAATGAAAAGATTAAAATGAGAGATAAATTTTCAATATGGATTTTAAGGAAGTTCAATGAAATACAAGAGAAAATGGAAACCCAAAACAAAGAAACCATAAAAATAATGCAGGAAATGAATGAAAAATGTACTAAGGATATTCAATTATTTAAAAAAAATCAAACAGAGCTTATGGAAATGAAAAATTCATTAAAGGAAATACTAACACAGTGGAAAGCATTAAAAACAGGCTAGATCAGGCATAAGAAAGAATCTCAGACCTTGAAGATGACACCTTCAAGTTAAACAAGTCAGTAAAAGAGAAAGACCTGAGAAACAAGAGGAACAAACAAAACCTACAAGAAATATAGGACTATGTAAAGATGCCTAATATAAGAATCATACGCATACCTGAGGGAGAAGGAGAAAATATACGAGGGTTGGAAAACCCATTTGAGGGAATAATCCAAGAAAATTTCCGTGGCCTTGTTGGAAATCTAGATATCCAGGTTCAAGAAGCTCAAAGGACCCCTAGGAGATTCATTGCAAAGAGGCAATCACCATGACAAATAGTCATTAGACTGGTCAAAGTAAACATGAAAGAGGCACTCCTACGACCCATAAGACAAAAGCAGCAGTTAACTTATGAAGGAAAATCCATCATACTAACTGCAGACTTCTCAACTGAGACCTTACAAGCCAGAGGGATTGGGGCCCCATTCTCAGTCTTCTCAAACACAGCAATGCCCAGCCTAGAATTTTGTATTCTACAAAACTAAGTTTCTTATATGAGGGAGAAATAAAGACTTTTCCAGACAGGCAAACACTAAGGAGATTTGTCAATACTAAACCTACCATGCAAGAAGTACTCATAACTGCATTATACGTGGATCAATACAATAGACACCCACTAGTGTCTAAAAGCTAAAGGTCAGAGCCCAGAGACCACAATGGCTTGAGAGGCAAAACAAAGCAATGAAGTTCTACTCAACAGGATGAACAGAAATCCACCCCACTTGTCATTTTTTTTCAATAAATGGCTTTTTCAATGAATGGCTTGAATGCCCAACTCAAGAGACATAGGCTGGCTGAATGGATAAAAAAATACAAGCTATGTATCTGCTGTCTTCAGGAAACACATCTAACCCACTCATTCAGACTCAAAGGGATGGAAAAC